CGAACGAAAGAGAATTTCCGAAGTATTGAAGAAGAATTAAAATCTAAACATTGTTTTTTTTTCTCGATCAAATAAACATTTCAGTTATAGAACTAATAAGTAGAAACAAAAAGAAAAGAACATTCTCGCTTTTCGTTTTACACATCACTTTTGCAATTACCTTACGACCAAAATACATCACATATACATTATCATATTTACAATTTGTTTGTTTCTCTTTTGTTTTGTTTTTTTTTTTTCATCATGTTCAGAACACAATTATTTGCACTATCTTGCACCACGCACTTGCATAGAAAAATTTAACCATCTAAATTGTTTGGTCTGCAAAGTGGCATGCAAACAGTAACTTTTTTTTTGTACAAGAACCGCATTTAATATACAACATGATAAATATTTTCCGTCTGCACTTTGCAATATCTCTACTTTTTAGTTTTCTTTCCCTCCTCTTTCCCGTACAAGTGCTCCAAATTGCATTCACCCCCTCCCAGCCTTCTAACATCTTACAAACTCGATGACCAACTCGCATACACGCACATAATAGTTAAACGACAATCCCCCCCATACAGAACTTTCTCTCATTCATGTCTTTTGCACGAGTTCTTTCACATTTCGAATATTGTTTTTTTATCGTTTATCTTGATTTTGTTTCGTTTTATTTAAAAAAATACTGAATTAACCAAGCTAAAATCACAGACTTGCTGGTACCTTATTCCAGCGGGTTTGTACAATTTCTTCCTGAAGGACCCTATGTATAGTTACAAGATGTATAATATATGTATATATATAAGTATGTGTAACTATATATACATATATATATATTATACGTATATGCATGCATATATATGTATGTATATATAATTACAATTCATTCATGAAATAGTGTTTGCACCTCTCGCTCTCATTCTCGCAATATGACTCGCTGAGTTTCCGCTTTTATTCTCCCGTTGCGTGTGTATTTCTTCTTGTATTATATCCGGTGTGTATTCGTTTGTTCTGCGCGCGTGATATACATATATTTCTGCAAATTGAACGTTTCACCATTCAAAACGACTGCGCGCACTCCCTCTCTCTCTCTCTCTCTATTGCCCCGCGCAGTCGGATTTCGTTTTCTTTTTTTCTTTTCAGTGACTCGAAAAAAAGGAAAAAAAAAGAAACCAAAGGAAAATTAAAACGGAAAAGGAACGTCTTTTCAAAAGCTCTGTTATAAAGCTGTTGTGTTGTATATATCTCATTCAACAAGGTGTGCGAGATTTTCTACGGACGCCGTTCGGACTCTCTCACACTTTCTCCTGTTTCGTCTAACGTTACTTTCGACAGATTTTTTTCAATGGCCGTTCAGAGAGAATCAGTTTGCATTTCTGATCTTTTCGAAGTGAAAGAGCGAATTTAGATTTCTTCCCCCACCCCCCCGCTTTTTTTTGTTTTCTTTTGCGGTTGCGCGCGCGCGCGACTTCGCACGCAAACCACGCATGTTTAGCAATTTTAATCGAATAAAAAATTACAGATCCGCACCTACATATTTCTGAACTGTCAATTAATCGAAACGAGTCTTAACAACGACGTATACATCG